CCTTGTTTGTACTCGGTGTTCACATCTGCTATCGTCATGTTTGGACCAAGTCAATTCACTTTTCCAGTTTTCTAAAGCTTCTTCCTCCAACGCCCTCTCTACGGAGAGCTCAGAGTGAACCTCTTTCACACTGAAGAAATCTGTGGACCCACTTTTACACTCTTTGACTACCCCTTCAGCGTCGTCTTCCCTGTCGAAGCCATGCAAAGTTTGGAGGGCTGGCACCAACCTGGTGCCCCACCAGTTGTGCAACTATCTGCCGGCTTCTTCAGCACGCCAGGCTGCACTCTGAGACAAGACGGGCGATCTAGCGCTATTTTAGCCGCCCTGAGCACAATGAATGGCACAGCAGTTCTAGGAAACGAGTTTTCTGTCTTCATTGGTCCACCGGTGACAGGCGACTGTGGCCTTGTGTCTGATTGGATATCCCTGGGTGACCAGAGTGATTCGCAAGACCTTGGCCTCTATGAAATCAGCTTTGTATGTCGTAGGAACACTAGGGCTGAGGCCCTTGCCACCGTAGTCGACGGTGATGACCGAAAACCCTTCGGAGCCTATATGAACTCCTTTAGCACGGCGTTGAATACGAGAAAGTATGTGAAGGCTTTGATGGCTTTATTCGACAGATATCTCCGCAAGTACGTTGTTATGTTTTATGAACTCAAATCCGATAAAACGGACAATGAATTTTTCGCCAATGAGTTGTCAGTCTTATTGGCCAATGGTGAATACGATAATTTTGAAGTCATGGATTTATATCGGTTGCGGCCGAAGAGAACAAAGTTCTCACTCTTCAGACTAGAAAATGAAACTTATGACGGTTCGTACGCACCTTTCTGGTTTAGTTGTTTTTCGAGCCACACGGGTAATTTCATGTCACATTAAATGCCAACTGAAATTCTGAAATATGTTTTAGATGGGGATAATTTACTCAGGTATGATAGTTATATTAATTATTACGCAACAGCATCCAAAAATATTTAACCAGCAAAAAGTATACCTGGTAACAAAAAATCCGTTCACATTTCCAGAGGTATTGAGTCTATTGTATACATAGTTAGACATCGACGTAGCAATGTTCCATATCAGATAGCTTATTATGCCGTCATGGTCCATGTTTCCTCCATTTTTCCCTTCATGCAATAGGAGGCAGCAATCACGACAGTAACCAGTTGACTTTACAAACAGCTGGAACTACGTCGAACGAGCCCATCCATAAGACTGTCCACACTAACCCTGATCCTACACCTAACCCAAGCTCATATAGTAGCGACCACTAGGTTTCAAGTTCTCGAAATTGTAATAAACCGGCAAAGGCTTCTGCTATTAATCAATGAGCAGACTTATTAGCATATCAATTCGTTGGCTTATTAAAATATTAAATTATTGAAAATCTTCTCAATGGCTATTGAATTCCGACAGCAAAAGACTGCCTCATAATCCTAATAATTTTCATTGTTATTAGGTGGAGTCAGTCAAACAATGGCGCTAACTAGGGCACTGCCAGTAGGCAAATGACTGCTCGTACATGATGACATGCAAAACAAAATCTCCATAAGTACTAAGAGGCCTACTGATTAGGTGTTCAGTAGCAATGCAATAAACTTACGACAAAGCTGGACAGTGTTTCCTATGTTTGCCGAACATAATGTTGCTGTTGTTGTTTTCAGCTATTTTACTGCATACGCGGCCAGCGTTGGCGAAAGTGTTCTTGCTAGAAACGCGCAATGTTACTGCCATCAAACAAGGCAAAATTGCCATCATCATCATCGAGCCCACGGACATGCTGACCTATGATATCCTGCGACTCTGGCGAAATGAACTGGAAAGTGAAGTAGG